TCACAAAGCAGTTTCCCCGAGGCACACTTAATATAATGAGATTGGGCCCATTTGTATTCAGCTGCATTTTTGCCTTCCACATCTAGGGAAATAACTGGAAAATCACTTATATTCAGGGCACTTCTGATGTTGGTCTAGGTTCAGGGATATTAACAATTCAAACTGGGTGAACACTTGCAGTAAGGGAAATGGAAATTATATTTTTCTGGGAACTCATGTTTTGTCATCATTAAATCATACTATGAAATGATTTCAGGTTGGAAAGATTCCATTTCTGCTATGTTGGCTTCACAGCTTCAACTGGGTATTTTCCTTCTAACTATAAACATCTTCTAGCTTAGTTTAAATTTAAATAAATTTCAGCTGGAAAGCAGGTAAAGAAAAATATTTTGTTTAAACTGCAAGTTTGGAAGAGACTGTTGTTGTGTCCCTTTGCAGATTTTGTAATGGCAAAATTGTATTGACTCTGCAAACAACTCTCCTTTTTAACAGATGTGCATGATACACATGGACTAGGAAAGGAAACCAATTACAGTCTCAGATCCATTGGTAATGAAGTAATGTCTCCAAATTACCATTGCCACTCTACCTTCTTTGATGACAAGTCTTACAAAAGCAAAGGCTAAATGAATAAATCTATTACTTCAGTGTGTGGAGGGTTATAACCAGTATTTCCCCTCATGAGTGTCTTAATCTTTGATTAATTAAAGAGGACCCAGTAGGAGAAAACAGAACTGGACAACTTAATTGTGCAGCATTGGGCTGCAACAGCAAGTTTCTAGTAAACTCTGCCTTTAAAGAAATGCAAACTTTTCTTCTAGAAAGGCAAATTAGTTTGGTTATCCATCATGGTTTGGAAGAGTGAGGTATTGGCTAACAACTTATTTCTGCTAATAAAGAATGTATAAATATGCCATATCCAGATAGCTAATTTTATGCAAGAACTTTAAAGGTAATAAAATATAATTAATTTATAAAAATTGTATATGATATGTGCTTCTAGAAATGGCAGACCAAGTTTCCCACTGAAGACAACTAGAAAAGCTGGACAGTTTTGTTTTTTTAATTGCTTGATGCAATTATAGAGCTAATAATATATGAAGAAGTATTGAGCCAAAATCCCGGGAAGGACCACTTTTCCCCTGGAGATGTTTGCCAGTCCTGGAGGGTTCCTATGTCAGTCGCAGAGGAGGAGTCTGAAGGGTTGAACAGTGCTTTTAAAAGAGTCACAGGGTTCGAAGAATGGGCATGAGATCCAGAACTTGCTAAAAGAGTGTCTAACGAACCTTCTTTCTTTGATTTCAGACAGTGTTGCCTCCTAGCAGCAGAGTGCACTGGAAGTGAATGGCCCTCACAGAAACTGAAGCTCAGCTTCAAATTAGCTCAATGCCTGAAGTTGAAATAATATGAAGAAGCCAGACGAAAGTAAATGTAAATCCACTCTGGAAGATTACATCTTCCTGGAACTCCAATTGTTTCTGTAATTTTGCAAATGCAAAGTCTGGCATAATTAATAATTATAATAATAATAATAGTAACAGTTCCATGAAAGGACCACCCAACATGAATGAAAACTAGCAGAAAACAAAACAAAACAAAAAAACCAGTCCTATAGGGGACTCAGATAGTGGCGTTATCAGACATGGACTCAGTTAAGTGCTGAAAAAGAAACAAAAGACTTTGATCTCTGGAGTTATGCAGGTGAGAAAGGCACAGGATTACTGGAATACCAAACTGCTGCTTCTAGACACAAGCCAACCCAGAACATGTCCCCTCTTTCCCCTCTTCCCTAGTCCCTCTTTAGAACCACCTGGCATAAACCCAAACATTATAGGAAGCCCGTCCCTTCTACCCCGGGCTGAAAGCCCTGTGGTTCCTTCCAGGTGCATTCCCTCTTTCTGGCAGCTCTTACAAAAGCAAAGGCTAAATGAATAAATCTATTACTTCAGTGTGTGGAGGGTTATAACCAGTATTTCCCCTCATGAGTGTCTTAATCTTTGATTAATTAAAGAGGACCCAGTAGGAGAAAACAGAACTGGACAACTTAATTGTGCAGCATTGGGCTGCAACAGCAAGTTTCTAGTAAACTCTCCCTTTAAAGAAATGCAAACTATTCATCTAGAAAGGCAAATTAGTTTGGTTATCCACATGGATAACCATGGTGGATCCAACTAAACAAATAAGCCTAACTTTAACTACAAGTGCATTTTTTGTAGTCTTTAGCTAGGAGTTTTGACCCAATTCAGTGAGAGTTACAATCATTTTTCTCCATAAGGGATAGGTGGGAAGAGAGAGAGAGAAAAAGCTGTAAATTCTAGATGATAATTACCATCAATTTAAATGATGCAAGACTTAAGTGACAAACTATTAGGACTAAATGAAATAAATGGCCCTACAGTACCATGTGGCTCCTGCTTCATTACTTTCCAACTCTGGGGGCCAAACCACACCAAAGTTCATTCCGTTTCTTGAATGTCCTTCTCTTGATACTTAAAGTGTGGAATGTGGACCAGCGATATCAGTATCACTCGTAAGCAGATTCCACTTCAGATTCATTGTCTTTTAATAAGATCCCCCCAGAAAATTCTTATGCACATTGAAGTGTGAGAAGCCCTACCCCGCACAACTTTGCATCATAGGAACATTGCAAATGCTCCTTCCTTTCCTAGGAAACAGTATTCTTGCCCACCTCCCTTCACCTTATTAATTTATCAACTCAAATATTTCAACTAAAACTCAAACTTCCCTGACCTTTTAGACTATGACAGGAGCCTCCCATGCATGCTTTCTGAGCACCTGTACTGTTTTGTCATAGCATTTGCCACAGATCATTTTTAAACACTGACTTGTATGACTATGTACTTAATGTCTGGCTCCTCCAGTTCATAAAGTTCTTAAGGGACCATGACTTTTTTGTTCACTTTGGTTTCCAGTGCACACAGCCTAGATTATAGTAGGCATTCAATATGTTTTTGTAGAATGAAAAAATATAGTAGAAAGTCTGCTCTACATGGCATCCTTCTAACGATTATTAAAAGGACTCATTATTATAACTCACACCTGGCTTCAATTATATAGTTAATTCATATGACAAAATAATTTAATCTGCAAAAAATGTCCTTTATTATTGATTATCCTAAACAGTTTCTGTTTGATTTTGTTTTCAGATATAATAATGACTTTTCAATCCTAATGATTTTTTTTTTCTTTTTTTCTGAGAGGGAAGTCTTGCTCAGCCCAGGCCAGAGTGCAGTGTCACAATCTCAGCTCACTGTAACCTCCGCCTCCTGGGTTCAAGCGATTCTCCTGCCTCAGCCTCCAGAGTAGCTGGGGTTACAGGCACCCACTACCATGCCTGGCTAGTTTTTGTACTTTTAGCAGAAATGGGGTTTTGCCTTTTTGGCCAGACTGGTCTCGAAGTCCTGGCCTCAGGTGATCCGCCTGCCTCAGCATCCCACAAGTACTGGGATTACAGGCGTGAGCCACCGCACCTGGCCCTGATGAACTTTAAAATCACCTGAAGCTTTAAAATAGTCCAGTGCCTGGGCTCCATTCTCAGAGATTCTGATTTCATCAGCCAGCCACCTTTGAAAATGTTACCCTTAGCACTCAATTGGACAAGACTTCAAAGTTAACTGAAAGTAATAAAAAGTAATGCTACCTTTCAGTATTCAATACATTATAAAGTAGTAATAAAGGCAAAATTTGTCTTAAGCCAAAGTTGCTAAATTACTACCTAAAAATGGTGAAGTCAAAAAGAATTATATAAAACTTCAAGAGTCAGTCTTGCATTGCCTATTGTACAAAGTCTGAAAACAGTTATTTCCTATACTGTGTCTAATTGTCTAGTTGTTGAGAGTGAGAGGGTTAGTTCAGCATCAAATATTCCCTTCCGCCCGAAAGCAGACGTCTCACTATTATTTTGTTTCAGGAGTATCTTTTTATACAGCACATAGAAAAATTTAGCTTTTATTTTGTTTGTTTTTTAATAATCACCTAAGAATCTCTGTTTTACAATGGGTGAGTGTAACTCATTTATAGTTACCGTTTTTATTGCTATATTTGGATTTGGTCTTGACATTTTAATATTTGGCTTTCTACTGACATTTTTTTTTCCTGTTTACCTATCTCCTGCCATTTGTTGAATTCAAATTTTCTTTGTTCCATTTTCTTTTTTTCTGTTTATTATTATTATTATTATTACTATACTTTCAAATTCTGGGGTACATGTGCAGAACGTGCAGGTTTGTTACATAGGTATACAAATGCCATGGCGGTTTGCTGCACCCATCAACCCGTCACCTACATTAGGTACTTTTCCTAATGTTATCCCTCCCCTACCCCCCCACCCCATGACAGACGCCACTGCGTGATGTTCCTCTCCCTGTGTCCATGTGTTCTCATTGTTCAACTCCCACTTATGAGTGAGAACTTTAATTTTATGTTACGTGAATTTTACCATAATAAACAAAGTTTACCTGGTGACTGACTTCTACTTTCATTTCTGGACAAGATGGAGTAGACACAATTTTCCCTTTCCTCCCATTAAATATACAGCTAACAACCCTGGACATTCAATATTAAACAAACATGAGAAGACCCCAAATGGTGGAAGAAGAAAGTCAGACTGTCTAGGGACATTAGGGCCTGAGAAGCAACACGGGAGTATGTTTCCTAAGTTTTCATTTTGCTTCATACATCTTGGATGGGGTGATAGAGATGGAGATGCCAGCAACTTGGAAATCCCAACAGCTACAGACAACAACAACAACAACAACAACAAAACAGCTTTCTCTCTCTAGCCAAAGGATTAGGAAAGGGGCAGCCTAGCAAGACAAACTATTTGACGATAATTGCCCTACACCTGCCAAACATAAAAAAAAAAAAAAAAAATGCAACCCCCCACCCACGTCAACAAAGGCTGAATAGGGAATCTAGATTCCACCCCCAACCAGCAGTAAAGACGCATCCCTCCGCTCCATGTTGTGGTGGTGTCAGAGCAGGCCTAGTACAGGGTCAGGACTTCCACTACGGTGCTTTGTCAGCGGAGACCATGTGGGGAGCAGGGATGAGATAGTCCTGTTCTTCTCAGCCAGGTAATATCAGTAAAAGCCTAGTTGGGCTGGAACACCCATCCCCATTAAGCTGAGAGGAGGAGCACCTTCCCACCCTCTATGTCAGTGGAGACTGAGTGGGTAATCTGTACTTCCGCCTCCGTCTAGCAATGATGAAATAGCATTCCTTTCCCTCCACTAAAGAAAGCAGCATCAAATAATACTTGCTTTCAAAAAAAAAAGGCCGGGCACAGACTTTGGGAGGCCGAGGCGGGCGGATCCCGAAGTCAGGAGATGGAGACCATCCTGGCTAACACAGTGAAACCCCGTCTCTACTAAAAAAACAAAAAATTAGCCAGGCGTGGTAGCGGGAGCCTGTAGTCCCAGCTACTCGGCAGGCTGAGGCAGGAGAATGGCGTGAACCCGGGAGGCGGAGCTTGCAGTGAGTCGAGATCGTGCCACTGCACCCCAGCCTGGGCGACAGAGACTCCGTCTCAAAAAACAAACAAACAAAAAACGGCCAGGCGCAGTGGCTTGTGTCTGTAATCTTAGCACTCTAGCAATTTGGGAGGCCGAGGCGGGTGTATCACCGAGGTCAAGAGTTCGGGACCAGCCTGGCCAATATGGTGAAACCCCATCTCTACTAAAAATACAAAAATTAGCCAAGCGTGGTGGCGGGCGCCTGTAATCCCAGCTGCTCGGGAAGCTGAGGCAGGAGAATTTATTATGCTGAGATAGAATAATAGATGGAATAATAGGTGGAATAGATAGTTTTGCTCTTTCGTCCAGGCCAGAGTGAAGTGGCACGATCTTGGCAGAGGTTGCACTGAGCTGAAATCCCACCGCTTCCCTCCAGCCTGGGCGAAAGAGCGAAACTCTGCCTAATAAATAAATAAATAAATAAATAAAAGAGAGAGAGAAAAGAAAATATGTTTTCTGTATGATCTAGAGTCTCTGAATAGAATATCAAAATGTCAAGGCTTCAAACAAAAATCACTTGTCATTCAAAGAACCAGGAAAATCTTAATTTGAGTCAATAGACACAAAAACCAAGATGACATTGATATTAGGTTAGGTTTTTCTGAGAAGATTTTTGTGGTAGTCAGATGAAGAACCAAATGAAAATTTTAGAACTGTAAAATACAAGAATCTCAAAACAAAACAAACAAAAACAAAACAAAACAAAAACCTAATGGATGAGCTCAACAACAGAATGGAAGGAGTAGAGAAAAGAACCAGCAAAATTGAAAAAGAACAGTCGAAATGACCCAATCTTAATAGAGAAAATACACTGAAAAAAGTGAATAGGGCCTTAGGGACCTGCGGTTCTATAACAAAAGATCTAACATTTATGTCACTGAGTTCAAGAAGGAGAGAAGAAAGAGGAAGGGCCTGAAATGTTATTTAAGGAAATAGTGCCTGAAATTTTCCCAAATTTGAAGACAGACAGAAACCCTCAGATTCGAGAATCTGAGTGAACCCCAAAGAGGATAAACAAAGATAACACAGTAGAACCTCTTCAGGACCTAGGTCTTGGTGAAGAGTTTAGACTTGAAACCAAAAGCACATTTCATAAAATGAATAATTTGATAAATTGGATTTCATCAAAATTTAAAATGTTTACTCTTTGAAAGATCCTATTAAGATGATGAAAAGACAAGCTACAGACTAAGAAAAAAATCTGTAAAGCATGTATCCTACAAAAGACTTGTATTTAGAATATAAATGAACTTAAAATGCAACAGCGAAAAAAAATCCATTAGAAAATAGACAAAATACGTGAAGATACAATTTATTGAAGAGTATATGCATACAACAGAGAAGCACATGGAAAGATGTTCAACACTATTACTCATTAGAGAAGTACAAATTAGGACCACAATGAGTTATTAGTATACACCTATCATAAAAGCCAATATAAAAAATAGTGACAATACCAAATGTTCATAAAAATGCAGAGAAACTGATCACTCATACATTGTTGGTGGGAATCTAAATGGTGCCACCACTCTGAAAAATAGTTTGGCGGTTTCTTTCAAAAACAGAACATACACTTACCATGTAACTCAGCAATCATGCTTCTGGATATGTATTCCAGAGAAATTGAAACATGATCACACAAAACCTTTATTGCATGTTTATTTGTAATCATCAAAAATTCAGATAACTCAGATGTACTTCAACAGGTAAATGGTTAAATAAACTGTGGTATAGCAATACTATGGAAAACTATGCAGCAATAAAAATGAATGAACTATTGACATACAGAGCAACCTCTCTGGCTCTCCAGGGAATTATGCTGAGTGGAAAAAAAGTCAATCTCAAAGAGTCACATACTACATGATTCATTTAGACAACATCCTTAAAATGACAAAATTGTAGAGGTGGAGATCAAATTAGTGGTCAGCAATGGTAGGGAAGAGGAAGATGAGCGTGACTATAAGAAGGTATAGCATGAGAGAGTTACAGTTGTTCCTTGATTTCTGTGGAGGATTGGTTCCAGGACCCCTGTGGATATCAAAATTTGTGATATTCAAGCCGCTTATATAAAAAGACCTACTATTTGCATATAACCTAAGTACACTTACCTGTATACTCTAAATCATCTCTAGGTTACTTATAATACCTAATACAATGTAAATGCTAAATGTAAATAGTTTTTATGCTGTATTGTTTAGGGAATAATGACAAGGAAAAAAGTCTGCATTTTTAATACACATTTTTTCAAACTTTTTAGACTTTTGATAGTCTTTTTAAATTTTATTTTTATTTTTAAATTTGTGCATACACTGTAGGTAAATATATTTATGGGATACTTGAGATTTTTTGATACAGGCATGTAATAAGTAATAATCGCACCATGAAAAATGGAGAATCCATTCCCTCAAGCATTTATTCCTTGTGTTGCAATCCATTTATGCTCTTATTTTTAAATGTACAATTAAGTTTTTATTGACTGCAGTCACCTTGTTGTGCTATTAAATACTAACTCTTATTCATTCTTCCTATTTTCCAAATATTTTTTATCAGCAGTTGGTTGAATCCATGAATGCAGAACCCATAGATATAGAGGGCTGACTGTATTTGGGATAATGAAATATTTATGTATCTTGATTGTGATGGTGGTGATGCAAAATCTACATGTATGATAAAAAGACATGGAACTGTAGATACATTGTTCCAGTGTTAATTTCCTGGTTTTGATAATGTACTATAGTTTTATAACTATCAGTTACATTAAAAGTAACCTACAGTACATTAGATGAAGGGTGCACAGTGGAAAGTTAGATGAAGGAAAATTAGCTAAAGGGTACACAGACCTCCTTGTACTAACTTTGTAACTTCCTCTGAATCTGATTATTTCAAAAAAGTGATGACTATACTTTGACAGTCATTTAAGTTGGAGAAGTTAGTCATACTCTCTAATAACTTTAGCATAGCCCTCTGGGGTATTTGGTTGAAATTTAGATGAATTGCCACTAGATGACACCGTTGATTGCATAAATAAACCATCAGACTATTCCCTAAGCATCTGAAATTTACTTAAGCCTCTATTGCTTTCAAAAATGTGATTTTTAAAAATGTAAAATATGAGATTTATAATCAGACAAAATTGTACTCTCTGTTGATAGTAGAAATATTATTTAACTGCCCTAAGCCTCACTTTATGTCTAAGAACTTATAAGGATGTCTGTGTGTGTGTGTGTGTGTGTGTGTGTGCATGCATTTATCTGATCTCACTAAAAACCATTTTTAAGAAAAAACTTCTAACTTTTTTTATTGAGATCAGATACTTCCTTGCAGGTGCTAAGTTTTCTTTGTTGCTATGATAGAAGATGAGGAATGGTGGAAATATCACTAAAGAACTCTGAGAGCGAGCTGAGCTATGAATCCTTAGTTAAGTATCAAACCTAGTTACAAACTAACTTTAGATCAAATGTATCTGCATGGATCTTCACTATTTGCTTGTATTAATCATTTTTTACATTTTTTTCGGTATTTTACGATGTTTTGACATCTTAAGAGCTTGCTGACCAGAGAGACTGTCCCAACCAGGGATAGCCAGTTTTCAGAGACAGCAAAGGACTCACTGGGCGTGTCTTTCAAATGCAAACCAACCAACCTCGGGTGCCAGGCAATTAGAGACCACTCCTACAGCCCTAAACCCTATGTGTCTCAGAGTGCTTTCAGGCCAAGTGGCCTTACATCACGAGGTGATAAATGCATTTCAACCTCAGAAATTGTGCACTTGTTACCTTTTCCATCTCTTCTCAGATGTCCATAACGTCTACTTCCTCACTTTATGCAAGTCTCCCAAATGTCATTAGAGATGTCTTCCCTGAGCCACTCTGTCACATATAGCAGCCCCTTCATTCCTCCTTTCTTCCTAGTGCTTGTATCACATTGTCACACATTTTTTCTTATTTTATTTTCTTCTTGCCCCATTACATTAGTTTGCTAGGGCTTCCATTTAAAAAATGCAGCCAGGTGCAGTGGCTCATGCCTCTATACCCAGCACTTTGGGAGGCCAAGGTGGGTGAATCACCTGAGGTCAGGAGTTCAAGACCAGCCTGGCCAACATGGTGAAACCCCATCTCTACTAAAAAAATACAAAAACTAGCCAGGTGTGGTGGCACATTCCTGTAATCCCAGCTACTCGGGAGGCTGAGGCAGGAGAATTGCTGGAACCCGGGAGGCGGAGGTTGCAGTGAGCCGAAATCAAGTTATTGCACTCCAGCCCGGCTCGTTCAACAGTGAGACTCCATCTCAAAAAAAAAAAAAAAAAAAAAAAAAATGCAACACACTGAGTGGCTTCAACAACAGAAGTTTATTTTCTCACACTTCTGAAGTCTGGAAGCCCAAGATCAAGGTGTTGTCAGGTTTAGTTTCTTCTGAAGCTTCTCTTTGGATTGTAAATGACCACATTCTGTGGCCTTACATGGCCAAACTTCAGTGTGTGTTGTCTGTGTCCTAATCGCCTCCTCTTACAAGGACACCAGTCATATTGAATCAGGGCTAACCCACATGACCTAATTTCACTT